ACACAAAAATATTCGTGGGGTTCAGCCCTTCAGCAATTCAGAGGTGAGCCCAGAAGAGGCTGGACAGCATCGGTCGTCCAGCGCCCTGCAGGCAGCACCTACCATCAGCAGAAGGCAGCAAGGGCACAGCTCTTCAAGCTCTCTACCTGCAAGGAGAAGAGACATCTCCATCCAAGGCATCTCCTGGGTGCGGACCCATTCACTCAGACCCCATTGGTGACTTCCCAGCACTGCAGTGCTGGCCCTGGCAGTGCTGGGAAGGTCTGGGCTTGTGCTCTACTCCAAATTCCAGGAGCTACCTTGGCCAGCTTATCTCCAGGAGAAGTTACCTATGACCTGGCTGCACGAGACAAATGAGAGCTCTGATTTTCAACTAGCCACAGTGTGGTTTTCCATCCTTAGGGGATCACACCCTTGTCCTCACTCTCAGCCCGAGTTTGTTGTGGTCACAGAGAGCGAGCACAACCCAAGAAGGTTTTGAGACTCACTTCCCAGAAACTTTCAGAGCCCTCTGGAGAGTTCCAACCAATCCACCCAATAAGGAGCATTTTTCAGAGTGGGTCTGCTCATGCTCTGCATCTGCTGCACCCTGGAGGCAGCTTGCTTCCTGCCACTCTGGAAAGTCTTAGTGGAAACCAGAGTGTGGCCTCTTTGGGAAGTGCAGTGCTTCCCCTCCGGGCAAGGTTCCACTCTCCCAAAAACCACAGCACGAGCTGATGACTACTTTTGCAATTGGAGGACCTGGGACAGGACCATCACTTCCCCCAGCACATCCCGCTGCAGAAAATGCACAACAAGAGTTAAAAAGCCAGCACTGATGGAGAGCAGGTGATGGAGCAAAGGGGTGATGGGCTTGGAGCAGCTCAAAGTCTCCTCCATGCAGGGGTGCTCAGCAGAGGCTGCTGGTGTCACAGGAGGTAGCCTGCAAGAGGCCTGTAGTGCACACTAAGGAACTTGCTGTTGATGCAGGAATTGATGCTCGCTGCCAGCATTGCTGGCAGGTGCTCTGCTGCTTGCTCCATGTTCCTGCCCTGGGAAGCACCGCTGCTGCCATGGGTGTGAGAAAGACGTGTGGGCTGAGTGGTTGGGGCCTTGCGGCTGTCGGCCGCCAGGATAGCGTCTGTTACTGTTCCTGTCCCTGCAGCCCTGTTTGTGCTAGCTCCTGCTGAGCTGCAGGCTGCTGGCAGGGTCCCTGGCTCACTGGCACAGGAGGCAGCCTGCAGCACCTGCTGACAGTTCTCTCTGAGTGAGGTGGCGGCCGGGGTATCATTGCCAACAGATGGAGTATCTGCTCCTGCATTGTCACGCTGCTGCTGGGCAGCACCACTCTGTGTTCCACTTCCAGGGACAGTGATTCCACTGCCGCCTTGGACAGCCTGTTCCAATGCCTGACTACACCTGAACTGAGTAAATGATTCCTAAACTCCACTCTAGACCTCCCTCGGCTCAGCTTGAGGCCATTGCTTCTTGTCTTACCCTTGTTCCGTAGGAGAGGAGACCAGGCACCTCCTGGCTCCAACCTGCTGGCTCCAACCTCCTGTCAGGTAGCTGTTGAGGGCCACAAGGTCCCCCTAAGCTTTCTGTTCTCTAGACTAAACCCCACCTGGTCCCTCAGCTGTTCCTCATCACACCTGTGCTCCAGGCCCTTCTCCAGCTCCATTGCTCTTCTCTGGCCCCACTACAGCACCTCAAAGACTCACCAGTAGTTGGAGCCCAGGTCTGAACACAGGCTTCAAGGGGCGGCCGCACCAGTGCCCAGTACAAGGGGACATTCACTGCCCTGGTTCTGCTGGACACACCGGTGCTGATACAGGCCAGGATGCTCCCAAGTTCAGGACCCAGGACTTTGCCTTCTTGAACCTCATACCACTGTCCACAGCCCATTGATCCAGCCTGTCCAGATCCCCCTGCAGAGCTTCCTGCCCTATGGCAGATCAACACTCCCACCCAACCTGGTGTCCTCCACAAACTTACTGAGGGTGCACTTGATCCCCTCATCCAGATCATCAATGATCTGGTTCTGTGATTCTATGATTCTTATGAAGATATTAAGCAAAACTGGCCCCACTACCAAGCCTTAGGGGACACCAGCAGTGATGAGTCACTGAGCTCTTGGGGCTCAGCCATCCAGCCAGTGTCCAACCCAGAAAAGAATAAACCTCTCCTGGCCATGAGATGGCTGTATGGCCAAAAGCACCACAACAGAGGAACAACCTGTTCCCACACCAATGAAGAGGAAAACTGCTAGTGCAGCTAAGAACCAGTGGCAGGAGATAGCAGTGGGAGATTCTACTTTGAAAGGCAGAAGAACTGCAACAGCTTGCGCACAGAAGTGTTAAATGTTTCATCCCTTCCTGTGGAAGAGACCAGGGTTGGAAGGCACCTTAAATCTCCTCCAGTTCCAACCCCTGCCACGGGCAGGGAACCCTTCCACTAGAGCAGCTTGCCTGGCCTTGAAGACTGCCAGGGATGGGGCAGCCACAGCTTCTCTGAGCACCCTGTGCCAGCGCCTCAGCACCCTCACAGGGAAGAACTTGTGCCTAATGTCTTAATGTGAATCTCCCTCAAAAGCCCCTGTGCGTGGATTCAGCTGAGGTAACACCCGAGGTCCCTGCACAAACACCAACTTTAATGGAACAAATATCCTGTAAGTGTTCACCCTCTCACAGTCAGAGCCCAGCTGAGCTCTGCGGCTTCAATGGAAGTCGAGGTGGGCCTCGTGTTACTTAGCAACTTTCAGAAAAGACAGAGAGAGAGAGAGAAAGGGGGGTGGTGGGGAGGCAGAGAAACAGAGAGCTCAGCAGTCTGCCAGTGGGGGTGTTTGGTGTGGAGAGAGTGCCCCAGGGGCTCACACATGCCCCAGTTCATTGGTGCCGGTTCCTGCACGTGTGGAAGCTCCCCGAGCGAGGAAATAGCCGGGCACATGAGGTCATGGAGGGAAGCGAAGGCCTTGCGCGAGCCCATGCTACAGCTTCCCAGACACAGTCTTTAGAGCTGGTTTCCAGGTAGCAGGGGTGTCGGTGGGCACCGCACTGGGGCGGTGGTGAGAGCAATCTGGCCCTGCCTTTCCCAATGCTCCGCGCCCATTCCGGATCTTCGGTGGACTACGGCAGACTACGGCAGAATGGGATGTAGAGTGCTTGAAAGTGCTCGCCATGCCTGTCCTTTTACAAGCAAATGGGGCAGCGGAATGGGAAGGATTCCAATGGAGCCTGATTAAGGAGATTCGATGTGGTGTAAAGGAGTCTGGGCTCCACTCACCGTATATGAAAGGTCTCATTCAGCCAGTTTTTAATACCACCCAACGACTTCCACACTTTGGCGCAGATAATACTAACCCCGACTCAACATATGATGTTGCAGCAGGCTTGGAGGGATACCTGTGAGCATGTCGCCATGGAAAATGTGGGGCATCAGCAGGGGGATCCCCTATATGGTATTGGGCCCAATGTTCTACTGGGAGAGGGACCCTTTTCTTGAGTATAATGTGCAGTTGTGGATTGTTAGAGAGGCTTTGGTCCAGGGACAGAATGAAGCATTGAAAGCCATGTTTAGCCTTCCTGAGGGACATGGGGGTGGTTCAAAGTCCTTCACCACTATAAAACAAGAAGCTACCAAACCATATATGAAGCTTATTGACCAGCTAAATGACGTGTTAGAGTGACAGATTGAACACCCTGAAGACCGTCAAATTCTTTTAAAGAAAGTCCCGGTAGCCAGCGCTAATATCGATTGCAAAAAGATCCTTGATTTGCTACCAGCGGCTAATCCCGATGCAAATATCCCCCAAGTGGTGGAGGCTTGTAATGTAGTGGGACCTCAGACATGGCAAATGCAAACTATGACCCAAGCCTTTGCCACTTGTCAAATACGGAGGCCTTTTTTTTCCTGCTGCCAGATGGACCATATGAGACGGGACTGCCCGAAGGGCCCCCAAATATGCCCAAGGTGTAGGAAAGGCAGGCACTATGCCAATCACTGCAGGTCAATGTATGACAAGGAGGGGAAATTCCTACCAGAATCCCTGGTAGGGGAATTGTCAGTAGGGAAACTGACACCAAAGCGCCAAGGGGAAGGGCGCGAGGATACCAAGTGTCCCCCAGGATGCCAAGGTGTGGATGGGGGTGACAGCAACCAACTCAGGGCAGCCACCCGAAGCAGCGCCAAGTTGGACTCGGCCCCCTCACAGTCTACATACTTAGTAGATTGAAAGCCTGTAGCTATACCCACTGGAGTACAAGGGCCCAAGTTGGAAGGACACGCCCTGCTCCTGGGATGCTCCTCCACCACCCTTATGGGCCTCTTCGTGCTGCCACGGGTAATCGATGTGGACTATACAGGGGAAATAAAAATTATGGTGTGGACCCCTCAACCCCCATGTTTTATACCAGCAGGATCCCGAATCACCCAGCTCATCCCATTTTTTGCAATGCAGGATGAAAATCAAAAAAACTTTGACTGATTCCCAAAGACTAGAGAAAGGTTTCAGCTTCACCGGGGTCCCAATGGTTTATTGGACTGAGGACATAAAAGCAAAAAGACCGATGTTCACCTGTAAGGTCTGTAATTCCGTCAGTCAGGAAATAACTGTCAATGGTCTGATAGATACAGGAGTGGACGTTACCATCACTGCGGTCCAAGATTGGCCTCTGCATTGGGATTCGGAGCCAGCCCAGACCTTGGTGACCGGGATAGGGGGCCATAAGTCCCTACCAGAGCAAATCTCTGATATTAATTGTAGGTCCTGAGAACCAAGCGGCATCCTTCTCTGGCTGTTTGCTATATCATTACATGGATGATATGTTAATTGCTGCTTCCACCGGGCCACCGCTAGAAGTGGTGCTAACCACAACAGCAAAAGCTCTAACCGTGTTTCACCGTGCAATAGTGATGGAGGAGGTCCAGAAGATGGCGCCATGACAATACTTGGGGTGTCAGACTGGGGAATGAACCGTAGCACCCTTATCATCACAGATTTCCCAAGACGTAAAAACCCGTTAACACCAGCCTGGGATCATGGCAGAGGTGGCAGACACCAGTGGCTACAGCACCGCCACTGTCACCGAGACCAGTGCCTCCAAGCTGGAGAACCGCAGCCTGACGCTGAAGCTGCACAAGCGGAAGCTGGACAAGAAAGTGGAGTGGTCAAGTGACACCGTAGACAACAAACACCTGGGCAACCACACCTCCAAGTGCTGCTGCATCTATGAGAAGATGCGTTCCGGGAGAGCTCAACTGAGAATGAGGATGAAGATGAGGAGGAAGCCCTGGAGAGGGGGAGGGGCCCGGGGAGTGAGACTGGTGATTGTGCTGATCATGACCTGGGACTGTGGCATCCACTGGTGGTGACTGTGACTCTGGTCCCTTGCCTCAGGGCCGGACGGGCACGTGACGCGCTATGGGCTGGAGTGGCTGGTGAAGAACAGCTACGAGGGGCAGAAGCAGCAGGTGATGCACCCCCGCATCCTCTGGAATGCTGAAATCTACCGCCAGGCCCAGGTGCCCTCCGTGGACTGCCGGAGCTTCCTGGACACAGATGAGGGGCTGAAGGAATTCCTGCAGAACTTCCTGCTTTATGGCATCGCTTTCGTGGAGAACGTTGCGCCCACCAAAGAGGACACAGAAATCGTGGCAGAAAGGATCAGCTTGATCAGGTAACAGGGGCTGCCCTGCGAATGCACTGACAGCTTTGTCAGGAGCTGTGAAGGGCAGGCTGCTCAGTTCGTTGGGAAGGTGCTGCTGCCTTGTCCCGTGTGTCCTGCCTGTGGCCTGGTTTGCAAAGCAAACGTCTGGGTCTTCCACAGCCTCTGGCCGCTGTGCTTGAACCGAGCTGGAGTGTTGCACTGTGGGATCTGCCTCTTCCTAGGTGAGAGCCTGGACCATGAGGCTGTGGAGCTGCCTCGGGAGCGTGTGGTGACTTTTGTGACAGTGGGGCTATGCCCAGAGAGGAGGAACTGGAGGAAGTGGCCCGTCTGGGAAGAGCAGAGCTTTGCAAAGAGAGGCATTTCCTGTTGTGACTTGGAAGGTTAGGAGGGCAGCCCTGGCCTCGGAGCCAGGGAGATCAGAACCAGTTTGTAGCTCTCACCAAAGAAAAACAGTGAGAAATGTTCCTGCTGTGTTTCAAACAGCCCAACAGCATGGCAGGACAGGGTTTGTGTTTCAACTCGTCCAACCGGCATAAAGCCTTTAACGTGCCTTACGCTGCTGGGAGAGGAGGGATTGCTTCCAATGAGTAGAAACAGAAATGAGGGCTTCCAAGGAATATCCAGGCAGCTTTTTGCTCCAGGTACCCTCCCCCTTAGCCCCTGAGCACTGTTTGTCCCTCTGTCTGTCTCCTTCTGTGCATGTTGTAGGGGGGAAGGTGGCTGAAAACGCAAGATCCTGAGAACAGAAGTGGGCTTGGTGGTGGGTGGGTGCAGACAGGGGCTGGCTGTGCCCTGGCAGCTCCTCGTGTCGCTCAGGGGCTTCCTTGGTTTGACAGTTGCCATGAGTCTGTTGGGGAGGAGAGTGACAAGTTGAACACTGGAGGAGGCACAAGAAGCACCAGCTCTTGGCAATGTGAATGTCGTTGTTCTGCTTTAATTTCCTCTGTACAGAGGCTGGAGGGGAGTGACCTCTCCTCAAAGCAGGAGAGGATCTGCTGTCCTAGCCCCTGCTCCCTCAGCCCATGCTATAACTGCCTGTCCCTTTTGCAGGGAGACCATTTATGGCAGGATGTGGTACTTCACCTCGGACTTCTCCCGGGGAGACACTGCCTACACCAAGCTGGCTCTGGATCGTCACACAGACACAACCTACTTCCAGGAGCCCTGCGGGTGAGTGCTTCTGCTGGGGCTGTGTTGTCTTCAGTGCTGATGCTGGGATGTACTTGCACTGGTCACTCGGCAATTCCAGGTCCTGGCTGATCCCTGTGCAGTGGGGGGAGTCAGTAGGTCGCTTTTCCCTATGCTTGGGGATTCCAGAATGCAGGCAGTGAAGGGCGTGGCTGTTAGACAGTGACTGCAGCTTGGTGTTGCTGTGGTTCAAGTAGTCCTTGTAGTCACAAAGGCGGCTCAGCTGTGGTCGTTTCTGTGCTACGCCACGCCACCGAGCCGCAGCCCGGGCCCGGACCCGAGCACCGGCGGCAGCAGAGGCCACGCCCCCGGAGCCACCGCCCGCCCTGCTCGGTAACCGCCCCCTGAGGCGTGAGTGGAGGCAGCAGCAATTGGGCTGACAGCGATGGCTCTGGCCATGCTCGTGGGCAGGAAAGATGGGGTGAGAGCTAGGACGTGTTGTGTTCACTTGTAGGTGATGGGCTCTGCTATGAAGGTTGGCGGTTCACGCTGTCATGAGCATTGCTTATATAGTCGCATTTTACCATTTATGCACTTTTAATCCTTGTTTGTTACTCTTGGTGCTTTGCAAATCATCACAGTTCTCTTAGGGCTTCTGAAGCCCTGCTGGAGCTGGAGGACTGCTTAAATCCATCATCTTCCACTTCCTAATGAGCCTTGTCCTGCCTTTGCTGGGGGTGCTCAAGGTCCCCATCTCAGAGCCAGGGGGAGGCTTCCCCTGCTGCTGCTGGGTGATGCTGCTTTGGCAGCGTTGAGCCCTGGTGCTCTCACCTCCTGCCCTGGCGTCACTCGAGGCTCTAAAATAGGACCATAGAAGGGTCACAGGCACTCCCCCTCTTCCCCAGGTCCCACCACCAGCAGTTGTAGCAGCCCATGAGCTGAGGCAGGAAGAAAACCTGTGCTGCACCGGGGCCTGAGGAAGAGTCACCAGCTTCCTCCCTGGCTGAGCTGAGAGCCCTGGCACCGAGCAGAGGCGTGGTGACCATCAGCCTGAGCTTCAGCTCCTCTGCTGTGACCCAGAGATGCTGTTGTCCAGCCGGTGCGGATGGAGCCTCAGCTCCATCCTGCTGCTCCTTGGCGAGTCGGGGCTGGGCCGGGGATCCCATGGGATGGGCTGTGCTGCCGGAGCATTCCTGCGGAGGGGTGACGCTGGTGGGGCTCCTTGGCTGGGTGACAGTGACAGCTCAATGGTGACCCCAAGACTGCCATTCCCATGACGTGCCCTTGGGGACCTGCCCTGGCTTCAGTCCCAGCAGGGTCATGGTGGCAGCGGCTGCTCCACCCACTGGTAGATGAAGAGCAGGAGCAGGGTTTGCTTTTGCCTTCCCTTTTCCTGTTGGAGCACAAGGACTGAGAGCTCCTTCACACGTAGGTGGCCAGAGGGGCAAACCTGGCTGTGAAATGGTGCGGTGCAGTGCAGTGCCAGGGGACAGATAACACTGAGTGTGGAGTGATCAGGGTTAGGGTTAGGGCAAAATCTTTTAGATCCCCTGTAAAGCATCGAACCACAGGGTGGTTTGTGTTGGAAGGGACCTTAAAGCTCCTCCAGTTCCAACCCCTGCCACGGGCAGGGACACCTTCCACTAGAGCAGCTTGCTCCAAGCCCCTGTGTCCAACCTGGCCTTGAACACTGCCAGGGATGGGGCAGTCACAGTGCCAGCGCCTCAGCACCCTCACAGGGAAGGGCTTCTGCCTGAGAGCTCATCCCTCCTTGCTTCCCAGTCTCATGAATTCATGTGAAGCACTCTCTCAGGGTTGGCTGTACCTGATGGGCTGAGCCAGTTTTGCACCCATGGGTGCTGGAACCAATGTTCCCCCACCACTGTGGTGGGTAAAGCCATCTGAGCTTTATGCAGCTGCTGCCTCTGCCAGCTCTTTGTTGTGTGCAGATGATCAGCAGCTCTGGACCCCTCCTGATCCCAATACGACCTCTGGAGAAGTCCCACCTTTGGTGTTTCCTTTGTACTTCTCTAGGCCTTGCATGCGGAGTCTCACGTGGAAAGCACAAAGGTGGAGGATGTGGTGAGCATCTGCTTTTGAACTGGAGGCAGCGCTGACCAGCCACAGCTGAGGGTGACAACAGAGGTCATGTATGCACCCATCAATGCATCCTGATCCACCAGAACCAGGCACTGGGCCTCCCACCTCCTGCTGTGACACTGGGAGCTGCCTCGAGCAGGAGCCTTGCAGAACATCATTGTGCCTCCAAGCAGAGAGGATGTCTTTGCTGCTGATGCTGCACTCCCAGGGCTCCCCCTCCAGCAGCTACACATTCTGAGCCTTGGCTGGAAAGGATTTGGAGCAACAGGAATGCATTAGTTTGCCTGGAAAGTCCCTCTTGAATTTGAAGGATGAGCTGGTTTCAGCTTCTCCTTGAGACTTCCTGGGAATACAGAATCACCCGAAGGAAAAGAAGGATGCTGAAGGCAAATCAGTGGGAGCTTGCTGCCACAGACTCCCCTTAGTTACAGGGTACCAGAGAACATTACATGGATTTTAATCATGAGGCCCGGGTTCATTACCCCAAGCCTTGTCATTAAAAGAATATATGAAGATCCTTTGTCTGTATTTTTGCATGTGAGTAATGCAGTTTGCTTGAGTTCACAACCCCAGGGCCACAGTTCCTCTGTTGTTCTGCAATGTCCCCATTGTAGCACAAGGAGATGGGGCTTTCTGTGCACGGGAGTTCCTGGCACTACTTGCTCAGTAGGGTGGGATGCACGTGTGGAAGGCAGCTGAGCCATGGAATTCCAGTTTAAAGGGCTGCATCTCCCTCAGCAGCACCAGGATTTTCAGGCATCTTCAAAAATGCAGGGAGGGCACACATGGAGTTTTGTTTCCCTCTGGCTTTCAGGGAAGGCCAGGCACCATGTACCCTGCATGCTAGGGAAGGGTGAGAGCCTTGGGCACCTGACCACAGCTGCTCTTGGCACATACCGTGATGGAGAGGGGTGATGGGCACAGGTTACTCCTGGGGAGATCCCAGCTGGACACAAGAGGAACATGTTTCACCGTGAGAACTATCAGCCACTGGAATCATCTCCCCAGGGAAGGGGTGAAATTCCCAGGGGAACTGGACCCTGTGGAGATCCTGCTGGACAGGGAGCTGGGCCAAGCCGTGCTCCAGATAGCAGCGTTGGTGGCATCATGATCTCAGAATGCTGCACTTGGGGCTGTAGTTCAGCCTGGGGAGGAGCAGCTCTCGCGCAGCTGAGGCCGGGAAGTGCTCTCAGGGAGCCACAGGGCTGCAGCCGGGCTCTCACCTCACTGTGCACGGAGCAGGGAGGAGCCTGCAGGGCTTAATCTGGATGGAAGAGGTGACAGGAGCCAAGGCTGGCCCCATGTGCTCCACAGCACTCCCTGGTCCCTCCTGCTTCCACCTTCTCTTCTCCACTTCTCTGCCCCCCCAACCCCAGGCTCCCACCAAAGATGTCTCCTTC